TKRMYTTTAAAAAAAAAAAAAAAATCTCTCTAGAGCAACATGTGCAAAGGAATAGAACTCGCCCCCCAAAAGCATCCAACTTCAATCTGAAAATCCCCAAACACCCCTGCCCCGCGGCAGTCAGCCCCCAGCCGGGCCACCCCCATCCGCAGTAGTTACTGGTAGAATAAAAGTGGGGGGCGCGGAGGGGCGGCGGCAATGGAAAGGGCGTTGGCAGAGAGCGCGGAAGGAAGGAGGCAGCCGAGGAGCGCGCCAGCGCTTCAGTCCCGGCAGCTCCCAGAAGCCACGTGGTCGGGCGGGGGCCGCGCCTGCCTCGCGCGCGGCGGCCTCCAGGGGGCAGTGTCGGCCACGCCGGACGGGCTCCCGGGCTCCCGGGCTCTCAAACCCGCGGGCGGGCGGGCGGCTCTCGCGGAGGTCAGATGATGAAACACGGCTTCCTCCGAAGGATCTTGGGCCATCTATCTGAGTTTTTAAAATTGATTTTGAGGCTTTTTGAGATCGGAATGAGAGGAAAAGCAGGCAGTCACACAAATGTCGTGGCCCGGTTGAACCCTGCCAGTGAGTGACGGGTCAGCTTTTCTGAAACAGCTCCGCTCCCAGACAGTTCCAGAGGCCAGTCCGCCAGGATCCAGCACCCGAGAGAGGGTCCCCAAGGCAGAGAGGACCGCGGGGAGCTGGCGGGCTGGCCTTCGACCTCCACCTGCCTGGTGTTTAAAGTCCCAGGCGAGAAACCGCAGCGATCTCTGAACCCCGGCTTTCGCAAGGGCTGGATTATGCTCACGTCACTCAGATTCCAGAGTGCGGGCCCCAGCTCCTGGCCTACAGGTCGTGGAATCCCCAATTCCGGCCTCTCCAGAGCCAAAAAAGAAAAAAGAAAAAAAAACTGGTACTAATGAGAATACTCTGCCTACTCTCCAAAACACACAGTTGGGCACACAAACTGTAAAGACACCACACCCGTACCTTCATTGTCTGCCACAAAGGAGGGGCCTCTGGTTGTAAAAATTCCAGGGCAGGTCAGGGGGATTGGCCATTCCAAAAGAGATTCTTTGCCRTAGGTGGGGCCCTGATGGGGGCCTCCCCCACTCCCCTGGCTCCCAGGTCCTCAGATTCCTCTGCATCCAGATCATCCAGCCTGCATACCTTTGCATCTCTGGACCATCCACCTAGGTGAGTATTTTTCAAATGGATAAGGATCCAGGGCCATAAAAGGTTCAGAATTTTAATGACCTGCTGACTGCTGGGAAAATATTTACCTTGGGCAAACACAATGCAGATAACTAAGGATAAAAGGAAGTACAATTATATTGCAATGGGTCTCTGCCCTAAGGGGCTGGAGGTGATTCACAAGAATGTGAGCTGCCTTGACCCACAGAAATGTACCTTACTGCTTTTAAAGAGCAGAATGCAAAGATGAACCGATGGCAGCCCCAGAAAGAGCACGTAGCTGTGTGCAGCATGGTGACAGAGATAGGAAGGAAATTCTGAATGTTCGTTGGATTCTTTTTTTTTTTGTCTGCAAGCGCTTCCTCACACTAATTAACCAAATATGACAGCACTGAGCCATGAGTTAGGTTCAAGCCCTGGCCTTTTTTTTTTTTTAATGAACCTCAATGGGTTTTACATTTGAAGAATGAAGAAAAGAAAGAGGAGGAGGAAAAAAAGTCCAAGATTGTATTATGCAAATAAACATTTATCAAAACAGTCATTTTTCACTAGGAATATGCCAAATTCTAAAACACAGGAAAGCCAATGTATGAATATAAGCTTTCTGCACTTGGGATGTATTAAGCACAGTGTGAAGAAAAAACTTCAAATGTATATTGACAAAGGGGTCAGGAGATCAAGAAATATATTTTTAGCACTCTACCAGTTTTAAGATTCTTACCTCGGAGGACCTGAGAGAAGAGAAAGATCACATTTGTTGATGGGTTTCAAGAAAACTGTGTCTCTGGGTGAAAATATCTGTTTACTCCCATGAMCTGCAACTGAAGGAATTTTACTCTTGAAGATAACTAAAGACAAATGGTAATTATCAAGCCTTGCTATCACGTTTCAAAACCCAAGGGCTAGTCCTTCTGCCTGTCAATTATAGCCTGGATTAATTGATAAGTAGGAAAACTGCAGTTGTACMCGTGAGACAATTGAGGTTAGCCTGGCAGAAAAATCTATAAGTGACTCACAAGACAGGAAGAGGAAGCAAAACCAACCTTCATCAACTTTATCAAGATGAAGTGGATAAAATTATGTCCAGTTTGCAACTGATGCAAGACATGTTGTTTTCAAATAACAAGGGATTTGTGGATAGTAATTCCCCATGGGGTGATGGTCACTCCAAATAGCTTCAGATAGATGATAAAGGGAACCTTGATGGATGATGATAGAGCCACACAGGGCATTCGGAAACGTGTCATTAGGGATGTTCCTCCCAAGCCCTTGCAGAATATATCAACAGGCACACAGGGATAATGTGAGGATGAGTCACCAGTAGTTAGTCACCCTGCATGTTTTCATGAACGAACTAAAATTATAAAACTAGTACATGCAAAAAAAAATCTGAAAATAGAGTCAGCCTAGCAAGCATGGTTGGCAGCTTCAGGACTGATAAACCAGGTTGGGAATTCAGATTTGTTCCCCCATCAAATGAATGGATTCCCAMTGTACCACACAAATCTAGTTGATACATAAAATATCTGAAGGTTTGTACCCATGGCTCAGCACTGTTCTGTGCAACCACAATACACGCAACTGCCAAGCTTCTTCCTTTGGAATTCTCCCTTAGGCTTCTGTCACAGAAGCAGGTTCCCTGTCAGCCCCAGGACAGTAGGGAGGATTTTATTAAGTTGCTGAGGCTAGACYTGAACTTTCAATTCTTGTGCCTCAGTCTCCTGAGTTGCTTGGGATTACAGGCGTGCACCACCACACCCAGCACAATACAGCTTCCAGTCTCTGATGCTGATTTCCTCTTCTGTCTGCTCTTCCACTTTCAAGGGAATTACCCTGGGTCCACTCCAGCAAGCCCGAATGATCTCCCCATTTCTTTCTTTCTTT